TAGTGCTTTTATCTGTTTTAGATACTGAGGTTCTACAACAGGCTTTGCTTAGAAAGGGGGGTTGGCTGCTTTAAAGAAAACTGTTTACAAACATCTCTCCTGGGCTAGGGATCGCCTAAGCGTGGCCTTCGAACTATGGTGAAGGTGTTGCTTCTGGCCACAGAGCTGCCCATGGGAGATGGGCTTGGGACGGACTAATGTCTGGAAGAGGGAGCATCCCAGCCTCAAGGGAAAAGGGTATGAAAGTAGAGAAGACTTGCCACCTACGAAAGGAGGGAGAGTTATTTCCTTACACCCTCCAATACCCTCCTGACTAACTTCCAGCCCCTTGCACTGTCTGCCCATAATCCCTCCACAGTCTTGGGCATTATAAAACATTGCATTTTTTTTTCCCTGAGGAATATTAACCCTGAGCTAACATCCGTGCCAATCTTCCTCTATTTTTTAGTATGTGGGCTGACAGCACAGCATGGCCACTGACAGAGCAGTGTAGGTCCACACCCGGGAACTGAACCCAGGCTGCCAAAGCAGAGCACACTGAACTTAACTACGAGGCCACCAGGGCTGGCCCAAAACATTGCATTCTTTAAAGTCAGCTTTATTGAGGTATAATTTACATACTACAAAATTCACCAATTTTAAGTGTACCCTATAGTGAATTTTCACAAATGTATATAGTCATGTACCCACCACCATAGTCATGACAAAACATTTCCTTCACTTAGAAACTTTCTTTGTGCCCTTTGCAGTCAGTCTCTTCCCTTCATCTGGCTCCTGGCACCTGCTGATCTGCTCTCCGTCCATACAGTTTTGTGCTTCTAGATTTCATATAAGCGGAATCGTACAGTTTGTAGTAGTTTGTGTCTGACTTCTTTCACTTGTATAACGCTTTTGAGATTCTCCATGTTGTTGCATGTATCAGTGTTCATTCCTTTTTAATGTGAAGTAGTATAGTTTGCTGCATGGGCGTACTACAATTTGTTTATCCATTCACCAGTTGATGGACATTTAGGTTGTTTGCAAGTTTGTGCTATTACTAATAGAACTGGTTATGAATAGTAGTGTATAGGTCTTTGTATGGACATATGCTTTCATTTCTCTTGGGTCATACTTAGGAATAGGATTGCTGGGTTGGATGGTAATATATATTTTAACTTCTGAAAAAACTGCCAAACTGTTTTCCAAAGTGGCTGTACCATTTTACATTCTCACCAGTAATATTGGAGGGTTTCACTTTCCCAACATCCTCCTCAACACTTGTTATTGTCACACTTTTTATTGTCTGACTCGTCCTTGTCAGACATCTGACTCCTTGGCATCTCACTGTGGTATTAACTTGCATTTCCCAAATGACTAATGATGTTGAGAATCTTTTCATGTCCTTATTTATCATTTATTTATCTTCTTTAGTGACATGTCTATTCAAATCTTCTGTTCATTTTAAAAACTAGATTGTTTTTCTTTTTGTTATTGAGTTGTAGTGGTTCTTTATATATTCTGGATGCAAGTCCTTTATCAAACATATGTTTTGCAAATAATTTTTTTTCCAGTCAGTGGCTTCCATTTCTTTTGTGTGTGTGTGAGGAAGATTGGCCCTGAGCTAATATCTGTTGCCAATCTTACTCTTTTTTGCTTGAGGAAGATTGATGCTGAGCTAACGTCTGTGCCAATCTTCCTCTGTTTTTATGTAGGATGCTGCCATAGCATGGCTTGACGAGTGGTGCTAGATCTAGATCCGGGATCCACACCTGCGACCCCTGTGCTGCTGGAGCAGAGTGCACAAACTTAACTACTACACCACCTGGCCGGCCCCTCCATTTCATTGTCTATATTTGTGAGGGATATTGGTTATTTTTATTGTAATAGTTTTGTCTGGTTTTGGTAACCAGGTAATGCTAACCTCACAAAATGATTTGGGAAGAGTTCCCTACTGTTCAGTTTTCTGGAAGAATTTGTATAAATTGTATTATTTTTCCCTTAAATGTTTGGCAAAATTCATCAATTAAACCATCTGGGGCTGGAGTTTTCTTTGAGGGAAAGGTTTTAAATTCCAAATCCAATTTCTTGAGTAGAGATAGGGCTTTTCAGATTTTCTCTTCTTTAGTGAGCTTTGATAGGTTGTGTCTTTCAAGGAATTTGTCCATTTCATCCAATTTACCAACTTTATAGGCATAAAGTTTTTTCATAATACTCCTTTATTATTTCCACTGGAGAGTCTGTAGTGATGTCCCCTCTCTCATTCCTGATGTTGGTAATTTGTGCCTTCTTTCTTTTTTTCTTGGTAAGGTCTGGCTGTGAGTTTTATCAATTTTATTAATCTTTTTAAGGAACCAGGTTTTGGTTGCATTGATTTTCTCCATTTTTTAAAAATTGATTTCTACTCTTATCCATATGATTTCCTTCAGCTTATTTTGAGTTTCCCTGTTCTAGTTTCTTTCTCTAAGCACTGCTTTAGCATCCCACAAATTTTGATATGTCATGTTGTCATTTTCACTCAGTTCAAAATATTTCATAATTTTCCTTGTGATTTCTTCTTTGACCCATAGAATTTTGTTGTTTAATTTACAAATATTTGGGAATTTTCCAGATGTCTCTCCAATTATTGATTTATAGTGCAATTCCATTGTAGTCAGAGAACATATTCTGTATGATTTGGATCTTAAATGTATTGATATTTATTTTATGGCCCAGATTATTGTTCCATATGGATTTGGAAATAATGTATCCTGCTGTTCTTGGGTGAAATGTTCTTTAAATGTCAAGTGAGATGAGTTGCTTGATAATGTTTTTCAAAATCTCTATATCTGGGGCCAGCCTGGTGGCGCAGCGGTTAAGTGCACATGTTCCACTTCAGCAGCCCGGGGTTTGCCAATTTGGATCCCAGGTGTGGACATGGCACCACTTGACAAGCCATGCTGTGGTAGGCGTCCCACATATAAAGTAGAGGAAGATGGGCATGGATGTTAGCTCAGGGCCAGTCTTCCTCAGCAGAAAGAGGAGGACTGGCAGCAGTTAGCTCAGGGCTAATCTTCCTCAAAAAAAAAGAAATCTCTATATCCTTACTTATTTTTTTTCTACTTCTACCACTTCCTGCAAGAGAAGTGTTGAAATCTCTAACTATACTTGTGGATTTATCCATTTCTCCTTTCATTTCTGTAAGTTTTTTGCTTCATGTATTTTGAAGCTATGGTATTAGCTTCAAAATTAGGTGCATACACATATAGGACTGTGTCCCCTTTATTAATTGAAACCTTTATCTTTGTGGAATGTCCTTCCTGTTTTATGTTTGCTAATATTTATTGTTCTAAAAGCTGATATTGATATAGCCACTTCAGCTTTCTTTTGAGTAGTATTATCGTGGTTTATCGCTTTTCCATGCTTTTAGTTTTAACCTATGTGTGTCTTTTTTATTTAAAGTGTGTTTCTTTCCTTCCTTCCTTCCTTTCTTTCTTTCTTTCGAGGAAGATTGGCCCTGAGTTAACATCTGTGCCAATCTTCCTCTATTTTTTGTATGTAGGATCTGCCACAGTGTGGCTTGATGACTGGTGTGTAGGTCTTTGCCCGGCATCTGAACCTACAAACTCCAGGACCACCAAGCGGAGTACACGAACTTAACTACTACACTACCAGGTCAGCCCTAAAGTATGTTTCTTGTAGATAGTACATCGTTGAGTCTTGACTTTGTCTTAATTGAATCTCAAAATCTTTATCTTTTAATTGGCTTGTTTAGGTCATTTATATGTAATGTAATTATCAGTATGATTGGGTTTAAAAGAAATAAGAAAGCGAGGCATGGGAGAAAGGGGAAAAAAAGAAAAGACTCTAGATTGGGAATCAGGAAACTAGGCTGGAGTTCTGACTCTGTACTTCCAGCTCTGTAACTTTAAATAAATCTCATAACTCTTCTGAGCCTTAGCTGGCTCGCACATGTTTGTAAGGATGAATAAGTTGTTTGTAAACTACAACATGCTCTGAAATCATAAGGGATTAAAGGACTATCCAGTGCCAGATGTATACATAGGTGGGTATCTATAAACCAGGGTATGAGTGCCTCAAAGACAGAACTAGGTCTTGGTCATTTCTGTATTTCCAGCACTAGCCCCCATGACTGGCACATAGACTGTTGCCAGTAAGTGTTTTTTGAGTGAATGGGCAATAAAAGAATTAACTTTGAATAAGTGAATGAATGATAGTACATGAGAGACAGGTAGGTGTCAGGTGACAAGTTATTAAGTGGCCATGGCACTGCAAGAACTGAACTTACAGTGTTTAATTCCTTATCTGTTAAATGGGAATACTTTTCAGTAGCTCAGAAGAATAATTTCCATGTATATGTATTTGTACTTACATACTCATTCATTCAACAAGCATTTATTAAGTGCCTACTACGTGCCAGAAACTCACTTTAGTAAGTCACAGTGTTGACTGAGCCTTGATCCCTGGTACAAATGCAAATATATTCCCATTAGTTATTGATTGGCTCTAATTAAAAAAAAGTTCCCTGGGGCCAGCCTGGTGGCACAGTGGTTAAGTGCGCACGTTCCACTCCGGCGTTCCAGGGTTCGCCAGTTCAGATCCTGGGTGTGGACATGGCACCGCTTGGCAAGCCCTGCTGTGGTAGGCATCCCACATATAAAGTAGAAGAAGATGGGCATGGATGTTAGCTCAGGGCCAGTCTTCCTCAGCAAAAAGAGGAGGATTGGCAGCAGATGTTAGCTCAGGGCTAATCTTCCTCAAGAAAAAAAAACAGGGGCTGGCCCCGTGGCCGAGTGGTTAAGTTCACGCGCTCCGCTGCAGGTGGCCCAGTGTTTCATTGATTCGAATCCTGGGCGCGGACATGGCACTGCTCATCAAACCACGCCGAGGCAGCGCCCCACATGCCACAACTAGAAGGACCCACAACGAAGAATATACAACTATGTACTGGGGGGCTTTGGGGAGAAAAAGGAAAAAATAAAATCTTTAAAAAAAAAAGAAAAAAAAAACAGTTCTCTTTCAGAAAAGAACTTTTTCTACTTGCATTTTCCTATTTTTAGCCATTAATGTTTAGTTTGGGAGTGTAACATTTAGTGATTTTAAAAAAGCAACACACAGATAAAAAGCTAGATAACCAAGTAGATAGATGACAGGGAGTCATTCTTCCAATCCAACTGATGATGTCACAGGAGAAAAGGTCAGTTGGAACTCCATGTCTGGCAGTTACAGGGAGCTGTGGCTAGGCAGAGGGTACTCAGGAGCTGCGCTGGAGTCCTTAACCCCAAAGCAGCCAACATCACGTGTCCAGGCCTGTGTATCAGAGACACAGGACGTCTTTGTGACTGACAGAGTGATCCAAAATGGAAAAAGACGAGCCCCCACAGTTGGTGACCCCCAAGTCGGTGAATGCCATTCTCTCGAGGATTGAGGCTGCCCAGCTAACTCGGGTTCAGGAGGTAACCCCTGAGATGAGGGAGTCACCTTTCTGTTGGGGTCTGATGTGGAGGCTGGGGATTGATCCCAGATTTGGGCAAGATTCCAGCTCTGGGCTTTAAGGGGTCCTGGGATCCTCAGCGAGCTGAGTTTGTAGACAGATTAGTACAAATTATCCACCTCCTAGATTTGGCGTCTGCAGGGCAAGCCGGAACCAAACCGTTCCCCTGAGGCAGCACTGGGCCCAGGAAGGGAACAGCCCACTGGAAGCCCCAGGATGGCCCTGAGACACATGGTGGAGGGTCCTCGCAGGGCAGGAGCAAGGGCCCAAAGTTCATGATTTGAGGTCTGTTCCTGGAAACCTGTCAGAATCCCCCAAGCTGAGCCCTAAAAGCTCACAGAGAAATGGCCAAAGGCAGAATCACCCTGAACCTGAGCCTCTGGTGCATTTTTTTATGGGATCCTCTGACCCTGAGGGTTTCTTGGGGCCTCATTTTTTCAGTCTGTTGCTTTTGGATCCTTGTGAAGAGAGATGTCCAGAAGTCCCCAGCAAATTCTGAAGAAAGGTTTGCTGTGGATTTTTAGTATTCTCTCCCTTCCTGACCTGGTCTAAATAATCAAAATGATGGTAATAAGAACTAACACTTATTTTATGTGCCAGACACTGTCCTAAGTGCCTTACAAATATTAATTCATTTAATCTTTACAAACACCCTGTGACAAAGATACTATAACAATCCCCACTTTACAAGTAAGAAAACTGAGGCCCCAAGAGGTTAAGTGACTAAGGTCCACACTGCTAGGACATGGTATCAGGCTCCAGAGTTCACACCCCTAAACACTACAATTTACTGCTTCGCATATAGGATATTTCTTCCCAGCTCTCAGACATCTTGGACAATGTCAACTGTGTCATCAACCACTTCCAGGAAGAATTAGGATATGATTTAAAAGAAAAGGCAAAATCTCACCAGATGGAGCAAAAGGGCAAGAAGAGATTCATCTTGCTGGAGAAAATTGCTTCCTTCTCCAAGGATGCTAAGACTAAAGAGAAGCACTTGTACGAGATTCTCCACTGGCTGGGCCACTGGGGTGAGTCTGCAGGCCGGGTGCAGCCCTGAGGGTGGGTGCCTTCCCCCCATGATGCTGGTCCCGGCTTGCTCAGCCTCCTCCTTTCCCACCCTCGGTCAGCATGTGCTGGGAGGGGAGTGTGGGGGGTGGTGCAGAGGAAGCAAAAGACACATTGCAGTGCCTCTCCGGTGACACATTCTCCCACTCATGTCACAACACGTCACCTCCACTCCCCAGTGGGGCAAACACGTGATTGTCCAAAACGTAACAGATTGTGACATTAGCTGCGTAAGTGATGAAGCCTAACATCACTAGCCTGTTACGCCATCTCATTTTTTAGCAAGATAGAAACTAAACTTGAACCCACACTAGCTATTTTATTTATTTGATTTTTTAATTTTCCCAGCTTTATTGAGATACAGTTGACAAATAACTGTGTGATTTTAAAGTGTGTAATGTGATGATTTGATATATGTGTATGTTGTCAAATGATTATCACAATAAAGTTGATTAACACATCCATCACATCACTTAGTAGCCTTTTTTGTGTATGATGAGAACATGTAAGATCTACTCACAGCAAATTTCAGGTATACAGTACGGTATTGTTAATTATAGTCACGTTCCTGTACATTAGATCCACAGAACTTATTTATCTTACAACTGAAAGTTTGTACCCTTTGACCAACATCTCCCCATTTCCCCCACTTCCCAGCCTCTTGTAACAACCAATCTACTCTCTGTTTCCATGAGTTCAACTTTTTTAGATTCCACATATAAGTGAGATGATATAGCATTTGTCTGTCTCTGTCTGACTTATTTCACTTAGCGTAATACCCTCAAGATCCATCCATGTTGTCTAAAATGACAGGATTCCCTTTTTTGTTATGACTGAGTAATATTTCATTGTATATAACACATTTTCTTTATCCATTGACTGATACTTAGGTTGTTTCCATGTCTTGGCTCTTCTGAATTATGCTTTAGTGACTATGGCTGTGCATATATCTCTTGGAGATAGTGATTTTGTTTCCTTTCATATATACCCAGAAGTGGGATTGTTGAATCATATGGTAGTTCTTTTTTTTTTTTTTTTTGGAAGATTAGCCCTGAGCTAACTACTGCCAATCCTCCTCTTTTTGCTGAGGAAGACTGGCCCTGAGCTAACATCCATGCCCATCTTCCTCTACTTTATATGTGGGATGCCTACCACAGCATGGCTTTTGCCAAGCAGTGCCATGTCCGCACCCGGGATCCAAACCGGCAAACCCCGGGCCGCTGAGAAGTAGAATGTGCGAACCTAACCGCTGTGCCACCGGGCCGGCCCCTGATTTTTGTATGTTGATTTTGTATCCTGCAGCTTTACAGAATTTGTTTATTAGTTCTAACAGTTTTTTAGTGGAGCACACTAGCTATTTTATAGAGCAGCCCAAAGGTAATATTAAAAGTACTGAATGACCTTTACCGCGTGGGCACTGGGCCAAACAGCACTGATTCCAGCTGTAAGCCACTGGTATAGCCAATTGGGTGTGGACCAGCGCACACAGCCCTGGAATCAGGTGCTACCCTCATTAAGATCAGAGTTATCCCATCATGAGACCTCAGTCTGCTATGAGGTGCGGTGGATGCTGCAATGTATAGGGATATGCCCGATCCCCTCACACTGCCCTGTCCCTGAGGAGCTCTCAGTTCAGTGGTCCTTCACCTTCCCCCAAGAGCTAAGCAGGGCTGTTAACTCCAGTTAATTAATTTAATTGTCCAGATAATGGACTAGGCAATGGGAATAGAGCAATAAAGGCAGACACATCCCTGGTCTTATAGTACAATAATGCTATTTAATGTCTTATTGCATATTTTCTACATGGAAACCTCATGTTAATCATTTCACATGTATTATCTCAATTAATCCTTACCCAACCCTTTAACGGGGAAGGGTACTGAGGCTCAGGGGAATAAGTGACTTGCCCACCATCACACAGCTAGTAAGAGGTAAAACTAGTTCAACCTCAAAGCCTACTGGTGTAACCCTTGTGCAACAGGGCTGCTTGGGGCTCCCTAGAGAACACATTGTTCTCAGCCTGTACTTCCCACTCCCTCTCCAGGTGACAGCCTGACTTACGAGATCAGGAACAGGAAGAGCCAGGGGGAAGAGGAAGCCCTGGATGAATGGATTGAGGTGATGGAGAAAGTGTTACCTCTCTCCCTCATCGCCACCAAAGGAGGCATCGAGTCTCTCATTTCCCTTTGCTCCACTCTCATTGAAGGACAAAAGAAAAGGGCAAAAGGTAGGTTCCAGGAGTACTTGGGAGGGGGTCTGGGTTGGGTGGTTGCCATCTCACAGGAAGAAGTCACACTCCAGGGTCTATGGGAGTCTCCCCGACTCTCCTCCATAACAAAAGCTTTATCTGAGATGGACGGGCAGTAGTGAGAGGTTGTGGTGTTGAACACAGGATGAGCACCAAACAGTGCTGAGCAGTCCCTCAGGGCTGGAAGTAGGGGTGATATGGAGACAGGTCCCTGTTGGTGCTTCCTGGAGCTGCGGCCTCATAAAGGTTCTGGGGAAGAAGTCTAGAAGGCCAGAAAGGCTGGAGTCTGTAGCTAGAGCCTGAGGAACATCCTTTCTTTACTCCAAACCCAGCTGCAGAGTCAAGAAGTCTGATGAGACTCAGCCAGAGGCTTTTCAATTGTGGCTGCTCCAGAAGTGGTCAGTCAACAACATGGCTCAACCTTGAAACTTGACTCCTATCATCACTAGACGGGATCTCAGATTATCTAACTCCTACATTTTGTAGATGAGAACACTGAAGCTCAGAGAAGAGAAGGACCACAAAGAAAGCTTGCAGCAAAGCCAGGCCCCAAACTTAGGTTTTCTGACTTCTCAATCTTACTCAAGAGCATGAGCTTCAGAGTCAGACAGACCTGAGTTCGAATCCCATATGCCAATTTCTGGCTGACTTGGGGCAGGTAATTTCATCTCTCTGAACCTCACGTTCCTCATATACAAAATAAGAAGGACACTGCCTACTTGCAGGATTCCACTTGGCGTGAGACCCCATGCTTAGAACATGCTCAGGGCTTAATAATAGCTATTGGTGCTTTATTGTTGATTCTCATAGCCAGGTTCCTTATCAGTCAAACAAAGTTGCTAGTTGGTGGAGGGGAGAAGCAGGGAAAGGTAGATGAGAAGGAGACAATCTTCCCTACAATCTTACCATATTATGTCTTGAGATGTAGTTAGTCATGTACTTGACTTATTTCCTTGCTAGATTATAAACTCCTGGGTGGCAAAGGCTGTGTCTTATTCCTTTCTTTTTAGGGCTTAGTTACCGAGCACTTACTAGTTACCTGGTACTGTGCTTGGCACTAAACATGGATAACCTAGTTAAGTCCCATGAAGTAGATGCTATGATTATCCCCATTTATCAGAAATGGAGGCACTGAGAAGTTAGGAAACTTGCCCAAAGCAAGTGGTAAGGATGAGATTCAAGCCCAAGTTGTCTGATTCCAGAATCCAAACTCTGAACCACTAGGCTACATGGCCTCTCTGACAACATTAGCTAGATGCTAGTTTGACTTCAATGTCATTTAATTTCCATATTTCTGTTAGCCCCTCATCCAAAGTTAGCCAGTGTTTTTTCTGCCAGTGATGTTCATTGAATAGGCAAATGAGTGGATGCTCCAAGATAATCACCAGCAGCCCTATACATGGTAGGTCCAAGTGGGTACAACTACAACCATAACCAGCCCTGTGGAGCTGAGGTCTATGAATGGATTGGAACACAGGGTATACAATCTGGGTTTATGTGCATTTTCTTGAGGAGAAGGTCCCCTGCCTTTATCAGAGTATTAAAGGAGTTCATGACTCCCCAAATGGAAAAAGACATTAGTCATTAAAAAAAAACCCAAAAAACAACTTGGGGTCGGCTCAGTGGCATAGTGGTTAAGTTTGTGTATTCTGCTTTGGAAGCCCAGGGTTCATGGGTTCAGATCCCGGGTGCAGACCTGCACACCACTCATCAAGCCATGCTGAGGTGGCGTCCCACATACAAAACAGAGGAAGATTGGCACAGATGTTAGCTCAGTGACAATCTTCCTCAAGCAAAAGAGGAAGATTGGCAACAGTAGTTAGCTGAGGGCCAGTTTTCCTCACCAAGAAAAAAAAAAAAAAGACATGTGAACAGTTGTAGGACCATGAGATAAATTCTCTACAAACACAGTGCAGTGATAACAGGAAACAGAAATAAAGCTTCCCAGCTGATCTGGAGTGTAAGTGCCAGGTAGCTTCCAGAGTTTGGATAGTTGGTAATAGGGAGCCAAACACAGATATTGAGGCTGGGAAGTAGCATGATTAGAAAAATAACTCTACTCCAGGGAAATATGGAGGATCAGGAATATGCTGAATTGAGCTGAGGTGGGTTGAACAGTTGCAGGCCCCTCTGGGCCCTGCAGGTGCTATGGAGCTGGCAGACCTTGACAGGTAAGCTCTGGCCAAGCTGCGAGCCCAGCAGAGATCTTTCTTGACAACATCTCCCCTGGCCTCACATATAGCCCCAACTCCTGATTCTTGCCAAAGCCCTAAGAGGGCTGGATGGGAATTGGCCAAGCAGGGTCTGGAGAATAAGTAATCCTTGGGACCCAGGGGAGCTTGTTGCCTTGTTCTCTTCACCTCTCCTAGCGTCTAAATGCACCTTCTGGCCGGGCTGGCAGGAACAAAGCCCACAAAACTCTACATCCTACCCTCAGCCACCGAGCCCAGAGAAGATGCTCCAGGACAAGCACACTACCTGCACAAGGGTCTCTGAGGTGAAGTCCATGCTTCAGGAGCTCCTGGACTCCACTATGTTCAACCAGGGGGACGTCAGGGCCATCAGATACATGTACGCTGTGGTTGAGAACCTCAACAAGGCCTTGATCCTCCAGCACAAGGAAAACAGGAGCCTGGAGACCAAATACAAGTCCCTGAAAATAGAGATGACCAAAGAACTCAGCAGCCAGAGGCTGTACTTCCAGAAATCCCTCCAAATCCTCGAGAGCAAGAGGGATGCCCTACTAAAGCAGGTGGAAATTCTAGGGGGAAAGTACCATGACCTTCTCTTGATAAAGCATGCCTTAGAGTTCCAGCTGAAGAAGGCTGAGTCTGCTAGAGGTCAAGCAGAAGACTCAGCTAAGATACTGGTTGACTCCCCAGGCCCTCTTGAGAGAGACACCCTCCCAAAGAAAGAAACAGTCATGGAGGAAACCCAAGAAGAACCCAAGAAAGAGGATCAGCTGTTCTCACCACTCTCCCCAAGTCCTATGGCCACAGCTGGGGACAGTGGTGCTAGGCCTTCAACGTATCAGCCACTTTGCACCATGACCATGTATTCAAGGATCGCAGATGTGTACAGCAGTACAGACACTGAAAGTCTTCAGCCCGTGTGGCCATCTTTGGTGGATCACAAGTTTCCTAAGAAATGTGAAAGACTGATGGCAGAAACCCCAGGCCACAAAGTCAAAGATCAGAAGGACTTCTTCCAGGAAGCAGACCAGGAAAAGGAAGGACTTCAAATTAAGCCCCATTTTGGGAAGCAGCTGTCCCAAGAGAGCTCCAGGAAGGAGGCCTTGGAAAGCAAGGTGGAACACTGGGAAGAAGAACTCAGCTGGGAGAGGCGGAGGCAGCAGTGGCTGGAAGAGGAAGAGAGGTGGCTGCAGCAGCAGAAGAAGTGGGCCCTACAGGAACAGGAGCACCAGGAGAAGCTGCGGCAGTGGGAGATGGAGGACGTGGCAAGGGAGCAGCAGCAGAGATTGGGCCAGCCAGGAAAGGAGCACAGACACCCATGGAGGGAGCCAGAGCAACCAGGGGAGGACGGGGAGAGGATGATCTTCATGACCACCAGTCGATGGAGGGACTTGGAGAAATCATCATTAGCACCTCCCCCAAGCCGGACCCAATCTGCTCACCAAGGCAGGAGGCCACACCTGCCCAGGTCCCCTGATACCCAGCAGCCTTCCCCTGGAAACCAGAGGACCGTGAGTTCAGCCACGTTAACCCAAAAACCACGGGCCCACTGGGTTCCCACAAAGCCCAGGAAATCGGCCTCTTTTCCTGTCAGGGGCATATCCATCCAAAAAGTGACCCAGCCACCTCTGCAGATATCCCCTGTAACTCTTAAGGGGAAGACATACCACATGGATGTGGAGGCCCAGAGGAAGAATCTGCAGCTCCTGAGTGAAGAGGCTGAGCTGGGGCTGCCCCACTACCTGCGCAGCAGGGCGCTGGAGCTCACCATCACCACCATGGAGCTGAACGCACTCAGGCTGCAGTGCCTGTGCCATAAGTACATCCTCTACAGACGCTTCCAGAGCCTCCGGTAGGTCCTCCCTGGCACCCGCCCAGCACCCACCCACACCCACTGCTGTGTGTGGGCAGAGCCAAAACCCAACAGGAGAGGAGGAGCACAGGGAAAGCCGGGACAAGGAGAAGCACCCCAGGCCTGGACAAGGTCCCCCTGAGGGTGGGAAATAGCAAAGGATGCCTAACCTGGGGGCCTTGGGCAACCCTACAGGAGTGGGAGGTCAGGCACTTACATATTGTTCTGCCTGTTGTGGGCTTTTCCTCTAAGCCTGCTTCCTATTTCTCTCTCTCTTCCTACTGCCCTGTCCATAATCCACCTAATATGCTTCCCCATTTGCCTCACTTTCTCTTCCTGTTCCCAGCCCAGCCTGAGGCTCCTCACCTGACACCACATCTCACTTCTCTGCTCCCTGTTTTTCCCAGCTCTTACCCACCTCCGTTTCTCTTCTTGCTCCCAGGAATTATAAACACTGAATCATCTCCGGTTAACAGACTTGTGGGGAGGAGGAGGCCCCTTCGTCCACTAAATCACTTCCCTCTCTTCCCAGAGAAGAAGTGATCAACCATATACAAGGCCTGCGAGAAACTGGGGCAACCTACAAGGCCCAGAACCTCTACATCTTCCTGGAAAACATCGACCACCAGCAGAACCTCCAGCTGCAGCCCTGGAAGGACAAGCAGAAGGACCTGGAGGAGAAGCACCGAGAGTGCCTGAGCAGCATGGTGACCATGTTCCCCAAGGTAGGCCTCCTGCCCTCCCCGCGACCTTCTCAGGGATCAGCACAGCCAGTAGGGATGCGGCCAGGAAATGTGCCAGTGGGGATGTAGGGTGACTGGGGGTCAGGAGAGCAGAGGAGAAGTAAGAGAGCAGGTTACAGCCTCTGAACCAGGAAGAGGTGCAGGCAGGAGGTGGCCAGAGTGTGAGAAAGGGCAGCTTTCCAATCTCCATATATGGGGAGAGCAAGAGAGAAAGGACCCACCAAAAGAGCTGTAGAAGAGACCCCTCTGGAGGGGGAGGTAGCTGAGACCATTGTGCCAACTTTGCACTGAGGTTCTCCCTCCCCGGGGGCCTCTGCCTGCTCCTGTCAGCTCTGTTTGCTCTCCAGGCTTGCTCCCAGCTGTCCTCTTCCCCTCGTGCTGGGGACTCGCTTTGCTTCTCTCTGGAGATGCCTCCCCTGCTTTCTAGCTGCCAGGTCTCCCTTGTTTTAGTGAAATATCTCCTCCAGTCACTCTCTGACAAAGGGCTTCTGGCAGACAACCTCACTGAGACCCTGGTTGTCTGAAAACATCTTTACTTAGTATCCACGCTCACTCTTAATTGACAGTTTGCCTGGATATGAGTACCTAAGTTAGAATTCATTTTCCCTCACGATTTTGAAGGCGCTGCTCCTTGCCTTCTAGGTTTCGGTGTTGCTGTTGAGAGTCCCAAGTCATCCCGAGTCCCGATCCATTGGGTTTGACCTATTTTGACTCTCTGAGGGCTGGCTTCAGTTTATTCTACTCTTCCCCTGCTGCGGGGGCAGAGAAGCAACAAGTGCTGACACCACAGGGGGCCACGATGGCTTCAAGGGACTGGAGAATCCCACAGCAGTGACTCAGAGCCTGCTGGGATCTCTCATAGGGTTGGGTCAGGAGGTAATGCCCCTGAGTCCTGAGCAGCAGCGGCCTGAGTCTAGGGGAAGCAGTGTGCTGAGGGACTTGGTTTAAGTGCCGGCATTAGGCACTTGGCCATGGAGGTATCTCCCAACCCAGTTTCCTGTCACCTTGTACTAGTCCTGGTCATCTCCTGTAGGTGTCTTGATTTGCTAAATTGGTTTTGAGGTTGAGAAGGAAAGGGACCATATGATAATTCTTTGGGCGGCTGTGAGGGTTCCCCTAGCCCCTTGCCCACTGCCAGGGCTGGGCTGGATGAAAAGATACCCAGAGCTCTCCAGGTCCCATCCTGAACCCTGTGAGTGTTCCCAGGAGTTCCACCTGCTTTGGCTTCCTTTCGTTTTTTTCCTTGCTGTTTTGCCCATTGTCCAGATTTTCCACAATAAAGGAGAAAACAGGAACTAACCCAGCAAAGAAGAATTGAAGGAATTTCTAGGACGTTTGATACCCTGGAGTCCCAGGGGTCTCTAATTGGAGGAATTCCCTGGGTCTTACCCTCTCTGCTCAGCCCTGAGTCAGGCAATGCGCCCTCCTTCCCTAGAGAGGGGATAAATAAATTCCTGTCTCCCTGATGCCTCTCTGCTGATTCCTCTAGCTCCAGCTGGAGTGGAATGTTCACCTGCACACCCCTGTGGTCACCTCCCCACAGTCAAGGAAAAGCAAGCCGCCCCCATCCTTACTCCAGCACATCCACTCCAGCAGCCGCTCCTGCAAGCAGCCTCTGGAGCACTGTACGTCCAAGCACCCAGAACGTGTGCCCCTGCGGGTAGCCTGGTAGGTGCAACAAAGCCCAGGGGGCAGCCAGCTGGATGAGTGAGGAGGCAGGGAGCAGGGGTGGCCAGATTGGGGAGGATGGCAGCTCAGCCAGGGCACAGACAGGCAAAGCTCCCCCCATGAGTTGCAGGAACCTGTCTTCTCAGCCTCCCTGCCCAGCTCTGGCCACTGGCCTAGATGGGGGTGTGTGGGCTTCAGGGGCCAGCCTGACCAAGTATGTTTCAAACTATGCAACTGAAAGACTCTGAGGACCCACAGCTGAGAACTTACAACGATTTCTACCCTGGGCATGGATCCCGCACCTTCCATTGGTCCATCCATATAAACAAGCTTGATCGTTCCCACTCTGTGATGCCCAGACTCAAAAAGAGAGATGGTGAGCCTCTGGGCAGCTGAGAAGACCTACGAACGCTACTGTGGCCAGTTCAGGGCTTCAGCCCCAGGGTATATGCATGGAAATATGGGGTCTATCCTGGGAGCCTCTTCCAGCAGCTCCTCAGGCAAAGGAGCGCAGGGGGGTTAGACTTAGGTTAAGGGGAAGAGAGGTGACAAGGAGGGTGATGAGAACTATTTGAGAAAGCAAGAAAATAAGGCCTAGTGTCTTGGGCCTGTGGCCCTAGAGAGCTTGTTGCTTCTCAGTCTCTCACCATGTATTTAACTCTTTGTCTCTTTTTATACTTTTGATCCCCACCCTCTAGCCAACAGGGGAAACAGATGGAGGCCATGTGGAAGACTGATGTGACCTCCTCCAGTCACCCAATAGAAAAGAAGACCCCTGCCAGCCTGCCCTGGGACCAGCTAGGGGGGCGCCCAGATATTCCCCGGCTGTTGGCATTGGATGTGCATTCCTCCTACCACAAAAGCTTCATGTCCCTCAAGGCCCGGTAAGGTGCAAGGCTGGATAGTTAATCTGGATTCAGGGAGACCTGCCCACCAAGGGCAGGAGCCAGAGCACACACGGTCCCTGTCCAACAGCCCAAGAGATCTCTTTCCAAACATTAATATCAACCGCATTTATTGTACCACCTCAGAGAGAGAGATGCTTATCTGCCTCATCAGCCGTCAGTTTGGGTCCTCATGCCAACACCATTCTAGTTTTCTCAAAGGACTTTACATAGTGTCTCAGAAGATCACTACAGAAGTCTTTCCTCCTCGTTTGTTTCCTGGGCTGCACATGAATTGCTCAAGAGGCACATCCTGCCCTAGGCCCGGGGGTTGTTCTCAAGGAGAGCCAGGTGCAGGATGAGGGAAACCAAGAATCACATGATAAACCTGAGACTTGGGCCTGGGCATTTTATTTCCTTACTGCCTCCAAGAACTGTCCCTGGGAAGAGCAGCTGAGGGGAAGGAGGCAGGACTCAGTGGGCCAACAAGAGGCTTTTCTGGGTTTTGCCTCTCTTGGCTTGAAGATGTCACTATTGAAAACACAAGGCTCTTTCAAGGAGCCTTTCTAGATTACCAAAACCAGCTGCCTCTTGTGGTCCTGGCCCTGCCCCAATTAAAGATCTTTGAAAGGGAGAGGGCACTGATGCCTGCCAGTCTAGACCTAACCAAAACCCAGAGCTGTAAGATGCTGGTGCTGCCACCATCCTCCAGACAAAGACTTAGTTAAGGCATGGTGGCATGGCAGCATCAAAGAAGGCCAGTCCTTAGCTATGCTTCCGCTCTGAAGTGCACCAGAGAACCTCAGCTTGACATCAGCATGATAGCCCACCTAGTACATAGATACCTGGTTTTCAATTTCTGGAGAGTTTCCAAGGGGTCTATGTGTGTGTGTGTTGTTGTTGTTGTTAGTTGATCTGGAAATAGCAAACAGAATTAATTGAGAATAAGCAAAACAACACTGTGGCACAACTTAATGACCCAGAAGTCAACTGGGGCCCCGCCTTGCTGAAATTTGGCTAAACTTGCTCGAGGCCTCCCCTATAGTGGTGTCTCTCAGAGCTCCTTCTCCTCTCCCTCTGCATCCCTGCCAGTGCCTGGGCTCTGCTTGGCATCTGTTTGAGGCCCCAACTGCTGTGCTCTTCCCACGTACATAAATACATGCACATAAATCAAGTGTATGTACTCCACTTGACCCCAAGCATTTCGTGATGTTAGTAACTTTCTGAAAATTTAAGGGGGTGATTGGGGAAAGGGACTCACAGTGAACAGCACCAAACAGCAGCCTCCTTCCTTCCCCTCTCTCTTTGGTATAACATGCAAAATTCAGAAACTCCTTCCGTCTCACACAGAACTGTTCCACCCACACCCAGGCCTCCGCGGGGATCTCAGCTTCAGGCTTAAGCACTTATCAAAATATTGTTCTCGGCAAAGACAGCTTTCCCTTTCCGGAGGAATTTAGATGAATACAAGTTTCTTCCCTTTTTCCCAACGCTACACCAATTTATTCAGTTTGTTTCTCTACCAGGCGTAGAGGCAAAGCCATGCTTCTTCTGCCTTCTTTTTCCACATTGCAGGGTGGCATCACCTACCTCTGTGTCAGGCTGGGCCTCGACATTTCATTGTGGGGGCTCCCTGCATTCTTGGGATCCTGTTATTGTGGCATGAGGATCTACCACTCTTTAACGAAAGTTCTCTGCCGCTGCCCAGGCTACTGCTGCCTTGGGGGTGGTGCTCGTGCTGCCCTCTTTGTGAGTGCTCTGTGTGTGTGCCCCTCTGAAGACACACTCACTCTGCTTCCACTCCCAAAAGTGCACCTTCTCTTTGGCCACCTGCCCGTGGCCTAGCACGAATCCTCACGTCTACCTGCTGTGTGGTTCCAGGTCACTCACCTCTTGGTGGTCCTGCCAACCTCACCAGCTCCCCTGGCCATGCTGTCCCATTCACAGTACCATCTAGTTTCATAACTAGGACCGACCTCATGCCAACTGCCCCATTCCCCTGGTCTGCCTGGCATTGACAACCTGTGTCATCTACAGGCCAGCTGCGGTGTCCTCTCAGTGTGTGAGGAAGGGCTTTTCATCTTCCCTCTGTGGTTTGTGACACTAGGAGGACTGTAACCCTCAAAACCCAGCAAACTCCCTTCTTTAAGATCTTTCTCTGCTTTGCATTATAAGTGTCTCCCCTGGACTCTCTGTCTGACAGGTAAGATATCTGTGTGTCTGCATGCACCAAACACTGTCCGTAGCTGGAGAAGAATCCTAACCTCGACTCTAACTGGCCTGCTCTCCCTTGCTCAGGGCCTAGTCCTGCACAGCTAAAGTGCACAGTGGTTCACACAGACATCCAGCATGCTGCAGACACAGGAGAAGGCTTATAACTTGGTTTCTGGGAAAGAGATCAGATGGGGGTGGAGAGGAAGAAACATGGATGGGTAGGAAAGAGCATGGAAGAGTGACGGGAGGGAAGAGAAAGTATTCTGTGAAGTGAGAAAAGAGGCAGATTCACAAGGAGAGAAGCAGAGCCCCTGGGATGTGGCAGAAATGTTGTGTTAAGCAGTTCCACATCTGGGTTAAGTCCGGGCCCCAGAGACTCTCCCAGAGACGACCAGGGAAGATCTTGAGTGGGCTGCGTGGGCACTCACATCCTTGTCTCAGCTGCTGCCCCATCGATAACTGTATTAACTCTTTCAGTGCCTCAGCGACCCAAAGAAAGACATGCCTGGAACCCCCAGATGAGTCAGCTGAACTTGTTCGTAAAAAGTCAAACGAGTCCTTCCCTGGAACCCTAAAAAGCAGGAGGATCGAGACAACCCCAGTCCCCACTCCATCCCTCAGCCAGTGATTCTCAGACTTCAGGGTGACTACGTATCACATGGAAACTTATTCCAAATGCAGGTTCCCAGGTGGTATTTTTAAACGCACACTCTGGGTATGGCTAAGTAGTCCTAGAACCTTGAGAAACACTGCTTTCCTCCTCCAGTCCCCAAACTGTGCATTTTTAATAAAATAGAGGTGTGTTTATTTTTTAAATTTTCTGTCTCATTGCTGAAACCCACACCTCCCCAACTCATTTTTTGAAACCAGGTCCATAAGCACCTGGCCACTGACCTGGACACTGATCAGAGAGAATTCACCAAGTGTTGACTCTGCCCTTTGGGAATCAACAAGCCGAGAAGGCCATGATGAGTGCCTGGCACACAGTAGGTGTCAGTAACTCTTCAATTAATCAAAGACATGGACAATAAGTAACTGAAATACTGATGATTATCATGAATGCGCAGAAGATAAAAATGAAAGGAGATATCAAGTACAAGTCAGAGCCAAATGGCACTGGGTGGGAGGCAAACGCAAGTGCATCTCTGAGGAGTGAGGACAAAGGTGGAAGAAATGGAGACACTGAGGTTCCAAATCCAGATGGTGTGGGCTGAGGAGGCCATCTATGGCAATTGTCTGTCAATTCAGTTAAGACACTGCTTTCCTTAGTTCATTCAGCTTACAAGCACCCTCCCGCTCACTCTCCCTCCCAGGAAGCCATTGGCCTCTGCCCTGCCCCTTCTTCTCCACTCCTCCAGACAGACTTGGCCTAGGGACCAGGCATAATAAAACATTAACTAGGAAATAACCCTGTCCTCAGAGAACCGGCAATCCAGTGATTCTGTTTCTGAGGAATGGCACCCATCCTTGCTTCCAGTTTAAGGTTGAGACTCTGGAAGGAAGAGGAGGATTTGGCATGTGAACAGCTGGCTCTTAGATGATGTCAGAGTAGGATCTGATTTCTAAGCCACAGCTTCACATATTGCAAGGAAGCCTGGCGGGGGAGGAAGGTGAGAGGCATTTGCCATGCAGGTCACGCACACAGGACTGCTGTGGCAGTGAAGGGCCATTTCTAGCCTTTCAAGTCCCAGCATTATTCTTTTTTGGAGGCCTCACCTCAATTGTATCCAACATATTAAAATGCCCTCACACTCACTGTATTGCTTTAAATAATTTGAAAGGATTTTTTATAACTTTGCTTTGGAAATTAACTGGCTATGAGTAAGTTTTTTTAATCTGTAGCTGGCTGTGACTTCTCAACAATCTTCATGCATAGAGATGAAATCTAACAAGTTTTGTAAATGTAATGAGAATATTTTGAATATTAACTTTGACAGTTTAATGAAACTGACAATATTACATTTTATAAACATTTAGTTATACATGTATATTTTACATTTTTTGATGCCAATAACATTTTTAAAGGTTTTGTGTGTTTTCATAGGCTCTAAGGTGCCTAGTGGCTAAACCCGCTTTGGTGATGGAGGACTTTGACTTTCTGGATGTCCTCTAGCAAGCTCTCTGGCAAGAAAGCAGAATATCTGACAGATTCTTCTGCTTTGCCAACAATTTCATCTCCTTGAAGGCAAAGAAGGCCTGCATGGGCCGAACTGTGAAGCCAAGAGGGTTGGAAACCAAGGAGACATATAGATATAGATGGTGTTTTTCTAGTGAGGAGGTTCTTTGACACTATACATGAGCTTCTTTTGTTTTTTTTTTCTCTTAAGAGCAAAGTTGAGGGGCCAGCCCCGTGGCCGAATGGTTAAGTTTGCGCGCTCCGCTGCGGCGGCCCAGGGTTCGGATCCTGGGCGCGGACATGGCACCACTCGTCAGGCCACATTGAGGCGGTGTCCCACATCCCACAACTAGAAGGACCTGCAACTAGGATGTACAACTGTGTACAGGGGTGGTTTGGGGAGATAAAGCAGAAAAAAAAAATGATTGGCAACAGTTGTTAGCCCAGGTGCCAATCTTTTAAAAAAAAAAAAAAAAAGAGCAAAGTTGATGTATTTGGTCAAACATGATATTGCCTTCACCTTCAAAAAACTCAAGGAAGCCAAGCCCTGAGAAGGAATATTTCTTCAAGCTAGATTTGAGGCTGGCATGGCCCGTGACCTCAGGGGCCTCCCAGATGAGGAACTAACACTAATTTGGAAGGGGACATGAGGGAAGGGTCTAGTTTAGCCCTAACTGTGAACTTCAAGGAGGTGCTGGTGAGGTGGAAGGGACAAAAAGCTTTTATAAACAACTCAGTCAAATAGCCAGAGGGAGGAAAGCCATGTGGGGTCTGGTGTATCCCATGTACTGGGGAGGCCAACTTGGAAAAAGTCAGAAGAAGGATGAGCATGACTCCATGAATGGAGAAGTCATTTTCTCAAAAAGACAATATAAGCATGGCTAAGGGGCTGGCCCCTTGGCCAAGTGGTTAAGTTCATGCTCTCCACTTCGGCGGCTCAGGGTTTCACCAGTTTGGATCCTGGGCGCGGACATGGCACCACTCATTAGGCCATGCTGAGACGGTGTCCCACATACCACAACTAGAAGGACCCACAACTACAATATACACCTATGTACTGGGGGGATTTGGGGAGAAAAAGCAGAAAAGAAAAAAGAAAGAAGATTGGCAACAGTTGTTAGCTCAGGTGCCAATCTTTAAAATAAAAATAAGCATGTCTAAGATGTAACTATCAATTGGAGTCTTTGAAATAGCTATACTTAGGGGGCCAGCCTGGTGGCACAGCGGTTAAGTGTGCACGTTCTGCGTCAGTGGCCTGGGGTTTGCTGGTTCGGATCCCGGGTGCAGACATGGCATTGCTTGGCAAGCCATGCTGTGGTAGGCATCCCACATACAAAGTGGAGGAAGATGGGCATGGGTGTGAGCTCAGGGCCAGTCTTCCTCAGCGAAAAGAGGAGGATTGGCAGCAGTTAGCTCAAGGCTAATCTTCCTCAAAAAACAAACAAACAAACAAACAAACTATAGCACAAATAGTAAAAGCAAACAAAGAAACAATCATGCAAACCCAAAACTGGGCAAGCTGTGTGGAACAATGACAAATGGCCTAAGACACATGTAATTGAAGTCCCAGAAGGAGAAGGGAGACAGAACCAGGCAGAAGAAATATTTGAAGAGACAATCACTGAGAATTTCCCAAGTCAATGAAAGACAACAATCCAAGAAGCTCAGAGGACTCCAAACAGGATAAATACAAAGAAAAACATACCTAAGTATATCATAGTCAAACTGCTGAAACCAAAGATAAGAGAACATATCTTGAAAGCAGCCAGAAAGAAAACAACAAAAATTACACAGACAAGTAAGAAAGCAGTCTTCTCATCAGAAACTTTGCCAGCCAGATGGTTCCTGAGGCCCAGCTGTATCCCTGCCTTGTGGGTCCACCAGATAGCATTCCAGGACATTCCCCCATTTGAGGGCTGATACGGACTTAGGCAGGTTTCTGTTACCCGCAAAAACAAGAGGCTGGAACTGAGCAGTGGATCAGCCGAGCAGTGTCCTACAGGGCACGGGCCCTCCAGTTCTCCACAATGTCTGGCCCTCCCTCTTCTGTCACACCCAGGCCACTCCTCTCTTTACACATACCCAGCCCTGAGCTGGCTGGTGGCTGTTTCACCCCTCAAATACTATTTATGGGCTAGAGTTAGAAGGAGGCAGAGAAGGTAGAGGCTAGACATATTAGTCCACTGGCCTCAATACCCCTCAAGGTAGGTCCTAGGATCTGACTGTTGCCCCAAATTCTTTTCCCAAAGGTGACCAGCCCAGAACAGCCAAAGCCCGAGTCCAGCTGGCAACACCTGTTGCAGCTCTGCTGAGGGGATGGTCATTGACACTGGCAGCAATGTCTGTGAGAGGGCGGCAGTTGTCAATAGTTCAGGGTTGCCAAGGGGTCATAAAGATTAAGGTTTCCTCTCCCACAAGCTCCCCTCCTTTCTAAGAGTCCCTTTGTAGGCCTCTGTCACCTCACTTTCCAGAAGAGAGTTCCTTTACTGCAGGAGCCACAGGGAGGCAGCAAAGCGCTTATTTAAGGGCCTTGGCTGGCCGGGATAGGAAGAGGGGCCAAATTAAAAATGTGGGAGTTGCCGAAAGATGGACACAACTAACGCTGAGTGGGGTTCATCTGAGAAGGTGCCCGGCTGAGCATGGAGAGCAAGTACAGCAACGGCAGGGGAAAGAGACAAGGGATCCCTGACCCAGCCTTTGGACATCTGGATCCTACACACTGTTCGTGGTGGCCAGAGTCCTCTATCTCTCAGCCTAGGGCCACTTCCTCCTCACTTGACCACCCACTCCAGCAGGGTCCTCAGCTCTGCAGTTCAGAGATCTGTCCCTATGAAGGATTCTTCAGGCAAGTATTTTTTAGGAACTCTACCAGGAGGCCCTTCCTGTAGACTTCCTCAAACATCTATCATGTCCTCATTCATTCATTCAGTCAATAGATATCTATTGGGCACCTAATACTAGCCACTGTTTTTGGTGTTAGGATTATAGTATTGAAGGAAATAGTGGTTTTTTAAAAAATGCTTTCACAGAGCTTATATTCTGTTGAGGGAAAACAGACAATAAAGAAAAAATTAGTAAAATACACAGAATGGCAGACGGTAGAAGATGCTGTGGAGAAACACAAACTTCAAAAGAGGGGTAAGGTACCAGAACATAGCGATCACAATTTAAAATAGGTCATGTCTTGGGGCCGGCCCCGTGGCCGAGTGGTTAAGTTCGCACGCTCTGCTTTGTTGGCCCAGGGTTCCCCCTGTTTGAATCCTGGGCGTGGATATGGCACCACTCATCAAGCCATGCTGGGGCAGCATCCCACATGCCACACTAGAAGGACCCACAACTAAAAATACACAACTATGTACCGAGGGGCTTTGGGGAGAAAAGGGAAAAATAAAATCTTAAAAAAAAAAATTAGGTCATGTCAGGCCCCACTGAGGTGACATTTTAGTGAAGATTTGAAGGAGGTGAAGAAGCCAGCTATGAGGGAAGAGCATGCCAGGCAGAGGGAACAGCCTGAGCTGGGAGCATGTGGCACATTCAAGGAATAGCAAAGTCTCCAGTGTGGCTGGCACTGGGTGAGTGAGTGGGAGGATAGAGGAAATGATGCTGGGGAAGTGACTGGGGGACAGATCACGTAAGGCCTTCTAGGCCACTGTGAGGACATTTTTCCCCCACTCTGAATGAATAGGAGCCATTTTTACTCTGAATGAAATGGGAACCATTGCAGAATTTTGAGCAGAGAAGTGACATAATCTGACTACAAGAGCATGGGTCTGGCTACGGTGATGAGAACAGACTGCAGGCTGGGAGTGGGATGCAGGGGGACTAGTTGGAAGCTACTCCAATTCCCATCCCAGTCAGGAAAGCTTAGTAAATGAGCTCATATGCTGCTCCGCTACCCCCAAGAAGCCTTTCCTAATCTTCCCAGAGACCCCCTCTCCTGGAGCTCTCCACCCTCCAGCACTGAGCAATCTTGTCTTTCCTCTGGGATTATTGGTGAGCCTGTCCTCAGCCCTACCAGACCTTAAACTCTTTAAGAGCAGATGCCCAGTGCTTTCACAGCTGTGGCTGCCCCCAGCACAGAGGGCTGTGCACAGAGTGGAAACCAAGTCAGGAATAAGTGATTCCAATTCTCCCTTAGTTAAGCTGCCTTGCTTTTGCCTCTGAAGCTTCTTCTGGGCTGTGTTTCTGCCTGGAGAGCCACATCTCTTTGTGTTAAATGCTTAACCACCATGACAACCCTAATTTGGTCTGTTAGCCACACTTCATTCACAGTCCCTCTGTACAGCCATGTTTACACGACACAGCTTGTCCCTGACCTGCAAAGGCAGCCTGTCAGAACTGGCAGAAGCACGTATAAAATACCGTGTGCCAAAGCGATTGGCCTCTCCGAAGACTCCTGAGAGCAAATTAAAACAGTAATTATTGAGTCTTCAAACATTTATTGAGCACCTACTGTGGTGCTATGCTCTGTACCAGGCAGTGAGGGTATAAAAGTGAATAAAACAAATTTCCAAGGAGCTTACTGCAAACATAGGCTACAGACAATTTGCAAAGCACTGGAGTGGTAACAAAAATAAACAGAACTGTGTCCTTGTACTCCCAAGGACTTACCATCCACCTATCCATCACTCATTCAGCAATCGCTTACTGAATGCACTGTGCTAAGTGCTGGATGTGTAATGATTACATTGAGACACAATCCCTCTCCACGCTCCAGTGGGAAATAGAGTAGTAAATAGTGAGGAGCTGGTATATGTAACAAACACAGTATAGGGCAAGTGAAGTAACACAGGTGCAAAGTAAAATGGAGAATAGGGGAAGGAGGTATTTGTTACAGTGAGGGTCTGGGAAGGCCTTCAGGTCTAAGTGGGACTTCAATAGAATGTTGAAGGATGGGTGGAACCACTACAGGTGGCAGGGATGGGGGAATCTGGAGGAATCCTAGGGAATAGAACACTATAAGCATAGACCATGTTTATAGGCCAAAAAGTGGTCAAGATGGCTGTAGTTCAGTGGGTAGAAGCTAGGTGTTGTAGGAGCTAAGCTGGGCTGTGATTGGGTTTGGATGGGCTTGAAGGCCAAGCTGAGGCTTTTCCTCTGTAGGCTGTGGAGAGCCATTGATGATTTTCACGGAGAGGAGTGGTAGTACCAGATCTGTGCTTTAGAGAGGCAGCTGTGTCAATGTGAGAGGTTAGAGAACGGATGCAAGGAAACCAATTAGAGGAGC